TTTTTTTTTTTTTTTTATTTTTCTTGGGTTTTTGTGGTTTTTTTTTTTTTTTTTATAATTGTTCCGGCCATGTGGGGGGGGGGGCCCCCGCCCCCCCCCCCCCCCCCCCCGGCTGATCGGGTGCCGTGAGAGCCTCGTGACATAGTGGCTCTAGCATCTGGCTTCCCTTTCCAAAAAAGGGGGGGGAAAAAGGAGCGGGGGGGGGAAAGAAGGAAAAAAAAAAAAAAACCACTGGGTTGAATGAGTCGCTCTCTGTCAAATTCAAACACCGTATCTAAATAGGTAAGCTACAACCCCTTCTATATATCCTGATTACTCGTCAAGCTATTCGCAGGGATCAAGACTCCAATTCTATCCTCGCCGCCGTCGGGTTCACCGGAACAGTGGCATGGTTTTCTCAGCTCAATCCTCCTGGGTTCCCAAGCAATAACGTCTCCTCGTTGGGAACCTCTACATCCTCAATGTATTCCACGTCGTTGCTCTTTGCTTCTAAAGTATCTCCAAACGCTGCATCCATTGCCTCACCCAGTGGGACACCCCGTGTCTCCGGAATGTAGAGGACGCACCAGACCAAAGTGATAGCATTGATGCAGCCGAATATAATCCAAGTGTACCAGCCGGCACTTGCGAGAAGTAGCGGCGTGGCGACGGCATTCACGACCTGGAAAAGCCACTGTGCGCAAGTCGTGATGGTGCAGCACTTCGTGCTGAGATGCGCTGGGAAGACTTCGGCGCAAAAGTTCCAAGCAATCGGGCCGTGACCAATACCGAAGAAAAACGCAAACGTGAATACCATTAAGCAGGCGAGGAGACCAAAAATGTTGAGCTTGTCCGGCGATTCAAGCGGTAGCGTCTGCCCGGCCTCGAAGGTTTGGACGCAGAACGCCAGGATAAACAGGGAGACGGAGCAGACGGCCGTGGCCACAATGATCCAGAATCGATGACCCTTGACGCGGACGAAGTAAAACATGAAACCCAGCGCAGATGCCAGCTTGACCAATCCGAACAGGCCCGTGAGGAAGAGGGAGGCGGATGTCGAGGTGAAGCCGGCACTCATGAAGATGACGGGCGCAAAGAAGTTGAGTGCGTTTGTACCACTCAGCGTCATCAAACTCATCAGCCCAACCCCACAGATCAGCCGCTTGCGAATGGGTTGGCTGGCAATCTCCTTAAAGAAGCTTTTCTGGGCCCGCAGAGAAGCCATTCTCTTTCTCTCCGTCACTGCCTGGTGGTATTCTTCAACTTCTGACCTGACCTCGGGGGAGGAGAGATCTTCTTGATGCAACCACGCATGAGTATTGAGTAAGGCGTCAACATCATGCCGCTCGGCCAGCCACGCAGGGCTTTCGGGAAGAAGGATCACACCCCCAAAAAGCAATATCGCGCCTGGGAATAGCTGAAGAATGACAGGCACCGCCCACTGCCAATCCGTGGTATCTGGCAGGGTACGATGCGAGATGTAGGCGCCCCAGAACCCAACCAGGGCCGATATCTGCATCGAGACCTGCCAGGACGCGAGTAACATGCCCCGGTTGGTGGGGAGGGAGATCTCGGAGATGTAGAGCGGCGCGACGAGTGTACCGGCCCCGACGCCGATGCCGCTGAGCAATCTGCCGAAATCGAAGAGGGCAACCGTGTGTCCGCTCGGCACCAACTGAATAACGGCGCCGATGACATTTGTGAGGGCGCAGAAAAGGAGACATCTCCGACGCCCTAGTCGCGAACACACCGGCAGGGCGCAGAGCACACCGATGAAGGCACCCAGCAGCCAGATGGAGACTATGAGGGACTGTGCAGCTGCCCGGTCGTGCTGGGACAAGTGGTCCAGACCGAAGTGGCGGTTGAAGGACGGCAAGACGAGAATTCCTCCGATGTAGCCAGTGCCATATCCGAACATGCATGCCGTGCTGCACACAACGGCGGCTGCGAGATAGATGTTTCGTGAGCCCATTGGTGAGAGGACGTTGTGATAAAGCTGGCGAGTAACGTTGGATGGAGGCCTGCTACAAATTGAACAGCATAATTAGCAGCCAGATGCGTGGAGTAAAGGTTCATTCAGGGGCGTGAGAACATATTCATGAAGCTACCCATGGCCAGTTCACTTACCGACAGAGCCGCAAATCAACGCAAAATCGAATAATTGCCGTCTCAATGGCATTCCTCATTAGATTTGTGAAGTAACGGGAAAAGGGGTCCATGGATAGGAGGTGGGCGTGCGCAACACTGCCGCATTGGTCTCGGCTGTGAGTTTGCCGAATCAGGCTTCCTTCTAATTACTCGGCACAAAAGCACGACTGGGGGGGGGGGGGGGGGGGGG